GCTGGGGAATTTTGGGATTTGTAATTATATGAGATATTTGGCCTTCTCTGTCAGAGAGCTCTGGTGTCCCACCAAACTACAGATCCCAAGATTCCATAGGATGAAGCCCTGACAGGTAAAGTTGTATCAAGTTGTATCAAACTGCTTTAATTCTGCAGTGTGGCAGTAGTCTATATATTGCAAATAAGATTGCACATGCACGCACATACACACATGCATATGCATGTTTTTATCCTGAGATGGAAAGACTTCTATAGGGTGTTTATTAGCGACAGCCACAGCTTACATTTTAGTGTGAGTATGTGGTAGTGTTATGTGTGTATAAGTATGTAGGGTAATCATGGAAATCAAATGTTTTTTCATCTTCTGTATTTCTGTACTTTTTCTGACTCTGGCTGTATTGGAGCTTATTGATGCTTTCATTGTCGATGAAGCTCACTCCCTCCCACCAAGTCCTATTGACTTTGGTGGGTTAATGTCAGAGCCTAGATTAGTCATGGATCTTCTGGGAATTAATCATGATACGTGCCAAACCATATTAGGATTAACATATAAAAATAAGGGCATGATCCAGTGACACTTTTAGAGATCTGTATTTACTTCAGCATGGGGGATTTAGAGTTGTTCTTAACTCTGCTATTGAAATGGAAGGGGCTTAGGAATGCTTAACTTTGTATGTGCTCTGATTCATGTTTTGAAGTCATAATAGTTAAACAGATTATTTTAGCCCTGTCAACATGAGAAAGAAGTATGCATATATTATAAATCATAATAATCTCAGTCTCCTTCTAGTCATAGAGTGAAAAAAAAACAACCCAGTTTCTCCTGCTTTTTTCAAATCCCAGTTGATTTCTCAGTTTTGAATTAATTTAATCCAAATAAGGAGTATGTTTTTATGCACCTGTGAAAAGAGCGGCAGTCTTTCACAAAACTGAGGTTGCTTCTGTCCCATGGGAGAGTGTGGAATTGAAAGAGCCTGATTCTGAGTAGGGTTGCAGCCAAAAACTGGATTATCACTTCAGGACTAACTGAAGGATGACTTTTGTCAGTTCAGCGGTGTGATTTTCTTTAACACCTCATTTGTGAGTTTTTGAATATTCTTGGACTACTGTGTTATTACAACTGCTTCTCTTTCAACAGTAGCTTTTGGTGTTAGGTTTCTGTAACCAAAAGGTTTAAGTTAGTCATGAGATCCTCACAGAAACGC